TGCTCCTCAGGAAGCCTGCTTTTCCCTCTCCTCCTCCCCCTGCTTGTGTTCCCTCTCTCGCTGTCTCTCTCTCTCTGTTGAATAAATAAATAAAATCTTTAAAAAAACAACAACAGCAACAACAAAACAAAACATTGGATGGAAGAAAACCATAGGCAAATGTGAACTCTGGCTCTGCCCTTGCCTGACCAGCAACTAAGGTGGCAGACATGGCCAGACACGACTGTCCCCAGCCACTAACCGGCCATGACTCTTTTTAATCAGATCGTTTCTTTACATGCACTAGTCTGGTTCCGTGGCCCTGAGGATAGCACTGGGTCCTCCCGGCTCGGGTGGGGCCCACAGCATGTGCCTGCCTGCACTGAGCCGTGATTCCATCTCACCCTGGCACTTTGCTAAGTGTGTAATCAGCATTAACTTGTTTAATCCCCATGACTACCCACACGGAGGTGGGCCTGGTTGAGATCATCCCTATTGCACAGGGAAGGAAGCCAGAGCATGGAGAGTGTAAGTTTCTTGCCAGAGGTCACCCCAGTGAGTGCAGCCTCACTGCAAAGGCAGATTTTTTTTTTTTAAGATTTTATTTATTTATTTGAGAGAGAGAATATGAGAGATGGAGAGCATGAGAGGGGAGAGGGTCAGAGGGAGAAGCAGACTCCCCACTGAGCAGGGAGCCCAATGCAGGACTCAATCCCAGGATCCTGGGATCATGACTTGAGCCAAAGGCAGATGCTTAATCGACGGAGCCCCCCAGGCATCCCAAAGGCAGATTTTTAATCACTGGGCTCTGGTAGTTATGGTTCCTCAGTGTGTAGATATCCATGAAGGACCTACTGTGTGCCAGGCACTGTTCTAGGAGTTGGGGACACAGTCATGGGCAAAACAGATTCCTGCCCTTATGGAGCTTTTCCATTCGAGAAGGAGAGCCAAGGCATTACGTAGTGTGCTGGGGGAGAAAGCAAAGTAGGGAAGGGAGACAGGGAGTTTTGTGGGGGTGTGGATAGGAAGGATTCTCACCGAGATGGTGTTAGGGCAAGAACGTGAAGGGAGGGAGGGTGAGCTCCATGGGGGGTTGAGAGAAGAGTTAAAGGGACTGAGGAGTACAAAGGTCCTGAGGCAGGAGCAAGGTGGCAGGTTTGAGAAACACCCAGGAGGTAAAGCAGGTGGGATGGGGGAGGGACGGGGGGTGGGGCGGGGAGAAGAGGAACACGAGGTCAGGGGGATGATGTTCACCTTGTGGGTCATGGTGAGGACTTTGGCTCTTCGTCTGAGAGAGGTGGGGGCCAGAAGAACATTCTGATTTTCCCAGTGATGGTTTATTGACAGGTAGTTTGTAGAGCATATAGTGCAGTCTTTTAATGGGTACAATTCACTGGATTTTAGTCTATTCCCAGGGTTGTGTCACCACCACCAGGACAGTTTCATCAAGAGAAGCCTTGTACCCCTTAGCTCCGGATTCTCCCCCGTCGCTCCCCTGACCCTCCCCGAGACAGGCAACCTTCCCGTCTCATGGATTTGCCTCTTCTGGACATTTCCTATTAATGGAATCATACACCATGTGGTCTTTTCTTTTTTAAATATTTATTTATTTTACAGAGCGGGAAGGGGCACAGAGAGAGATCTTCAGGCAGACTACCCCCACCCCGGCCCCACGAAGCACGGAGCGTGGTGCGGGGCTTGATCCCGAGACCCTGAGATCCTGTCCTAAGCCGAAATCACCGGTCAGACGCTCAACCAACTGAGCCACCCAGGTGTCCCTGTGTGGTCTTTTCTAAGTTTCACTCAGGGTAAAGTTTTCAAAGTTCATGCACGCCGTGGTACGTAGCAGTACTTCTCTCCTTCTCATGCCAAATAACGTTCCGCTGTGTGACAGTCTGTATTTTATTTGCCTCTTCGTCATCTGGGCTGTAACACCTTTTAGCTACTGTGCACAGGGCTGTAATGACCCCTGGTGCACACATTTTTGCGTGGACACAGTTTTCATTTCTCTCGTATGTGCCCCAGACTGGGACGGCTGGATTCCCCGCTCAGTCCCCGCGGCTGCCTCATTTTACAAACCCCTACCACTCCCCGCCCGGGCAGTGTCTGAGGGTTCCAGTGTCCCCCACGTCTTTGCCCACACTCACCATCTGTCTTTTGATCGAGAAGACGTTTGAGCTGAGAAGGAACATCGTCTGACTTGGTTCATTCGGGATCCGTCCGGCACCCACGTTGAGAATATCTTACTCTGATTCATCTCTCCTTTCCTTCTGTGTTTTTCTCAGCTCTCCCTATCCTGGCAAGGCCGCTCTCTAAAGCATGACGAAGTCTTTTCTCCTGCTTCTCAGCAACCCCCACCACATCCTTGCCCCCCACAACCCCGTCGGAAATGACTCCCCTCAGTGAGCTCAAGGCTGGTCACGTGTCTCAGACAGCCTTTCATCTCCGCTGTGTCTCTTGTCAGGCGATCGCCCTGGTCTGACGTGGGGAACCTCCTGCCATGTCCTTGAGGTTCTCTTGGGTAAGCACCACGCACATTTGGACCTTGAAGAGTTCGTAATAAATAACAGTTACATTGGGTGAGAGGGTCAAGGCGAATGGGCCTCTTTGGGGGAGGACGGGTGCAAGGAGGGGGGGCGGGCATTGGGCCAGGGCAGACCCCAGGTTCATTGGTTAGTTCAGTTGGTTAGTTCAGTTGGTTAATTCCCAAGAACAGCAAAGTCATGGGGATAAGACAATTCCCATAGCTGATGGCTGTTGAAAACCTTGAGGAATTCAATGAAATATGTTAATTGATTGACTAATTGACTTGATTGATTAATGCCTCAGTGAGCTAATTGATCACCTGAAGACTTCAGGGCATACGTAACATGTGCCAGGAACTGCCCGAGGTGCTGGGGATATATCATCAGCAAAACCAGACCGGCTTGTTGCTTGGGAGCTGGGGGAGACAAAAGTAAAGAAACCAGTAAGACCATTTCAGATAAAATGGGGATGATTTGGTACAGTGACTGTAGGTTGGGGTTCCCATTTTGGATACTGGGCAGTGAAGGCCTCTCTGGGGAGTGAATGATGAGCTGGAGTCTGGAGCAGAAGTGAGCTCTGGAAGGATCTGGGGGAAGAGTGTTCTGAGCACAATGTACAGCAAATGCAAAGGCCCTGTGGCAGGAGAAAGCTGGGGCTGTTCAAGGAACAGAAAGAAAGCCCAGGAGGCTGGGAGTACAGTTAGTAAGGGGAGAGGCTGGGAGATGGGGCAGAAAAGGTAGGCAAGAGCCAGGTCGTGCAGGTCTTGGGACAACACCGGCCTCAGCCGTGCTCCCACGTTGCGGGAACTGATCTAAGTAAGCCCTGCCACAATTGCCCAATGCAGTTAAACCTCATGACAGCCCTTGGGGAGAGGCTCTTATTGTCCCCACTGGACAAGTGAGAAAACCGAGGCCAACAGTGGGCCAAGTGCCTTGCCCTGGGACTCTGCTGCGGGAAACCCTGGAACATGGTTTCCCCAGACTCATTCCCCTCTGACACCGCAGCCCTGTCCTGGCACCCCGATCTAGGTCAGGGGTTGGGCTCCTCCTACATGCACCCTGGGCAAGGTCAGGTCTGCTGTGGGGGACAGTGGCAGGCAAGGGTCTCTGGCTGGTATGGAGTGGGTGCTGTACACAAATACTGCTTCGGCCAGATCACGCTGCTTTCTTCCACGGCTGAAGGAGAGTTTCTGAAGGCCTCCTCCCGAGCCAGCAGGGACCGGCCTGCCTTCGCCGGACGCTGAGGACACTGCGTCCCACCCCGTGTAACCCTCAACCAGTCCCTTGCTCTCTCAGTAGTCCGGTCTAGAGAATGAGGGGCTCAAAGCTCAATGTCACACGCAGCTGGGGAGCCGGAGGGGAGCACCTGCTGTGTTTTCTCGGAGCACCTGTTACCTGCAATTAAGCATCCTTTATTTGCTTCACTCGCTCATCATATCGCCCTCTTCATTAGAAAGCAGACACTAAGGTGTGTTCATGTCACCTTCCTGTGCCTGCTTCCTCATCTGGAAAATGGAGCCATTTTGGGCAAGGTGCTAAGCCCAGGGGGCCCAGCATTACCTGCCAGGCAGAGTGCTAGCTGCGGAGGACAAGGCAGGGGCTCAGAGAGACCAAGTCTGCCCGCAGCATTCTAGCTGGGGGGCTGGTCAGAATGCAAAGGACGAATGACTGTGTAACATGCCAGGTGGTTCTCAGCGATAAGGGAGATGGGGAGAGCTGGCGCTATTTTGTTTTACACGAGGTGGCGGGTGGAAGGCCTTTCTGATAAGGTGGCAGAGTGGTCATGAAGGAAGGAGCCGGGCAGATTATCTAGGGGAACAGAATGCCAAGGGGGGTGGGTTGTGTGTATCAGGCACTGAGGCGGGAGTCTGCAAGGCTGGTTCCAGCGAGAGCGAGGCTAGAACAGAATGTGAGTGTGGTTGGGGGCTTGGGGGATGGCAATGAGGTCGCAGAAGTGCGGATGGGGGCTCCGGTGTTTCTGATGAGTTGGGAAACTCCTACTAAGTGTGTCCATGACGCCGGTCATGCCAGAGGAAGTGGGAGAGGAGGAGGGGCAGGGGCGAAAGAGAGGGGAGCAGGAGGGTGGGGGGGCGCTGCGGGAGGACCGGGAGAGAGAAGAGGAGAGGGAGCAGGTGATGGGAGGAGGAAGAGCAGGGAAAACGAGAGGCGGGGAGGAGCGGGGAATAGGAGGCAGAGGGGGAGCCAAACCCCACCGACGCCACAGCACGCGGAACGCGAGGATCCCCGCGCGGTCTCACGCGGAAACGGAAGCGAGGGCGTGGGGCGGCAGACTACCCCCCGCGGGGCGTGGCCTCCGGACCGTCCGATCCGCGCCCCGCCCGGGCCCCGCCCCCAACCCCGCCCCGACCCCGCGCAGCCCCCGCCCCCCGCCCCCGCCAGTAGGCTCGCGCCCGAATCCTGGTGCCCAGGGCGTCCCGGGGGCGGTCCGGCTGCGCCGGCGATGGCGCATAAAACCGCCGGCCACCTGCCGGGCCTCTCCTCCGTGCGCCGCGGTCTGGGCCCCGCCGTGCCGCTGTGGCCCGCCTGCCCTAGAGTCGCCGCCTGTGTCGCCTGTGTCTCGGTCCCCGTCCCCCCAGGCGCGGAGCCACGCGAGGGCCGGGCGGGAGCCAGGGCGCGCAGACATGGGCAGCCGCGCCAGAGCGCGCCGGGCGGTCGCGGTGCTGGGCTTCGCTGGGCTGCTGTGCGCCGTGCTGGGAGCCGTCATGATCGTGGTGGTGCCCACGCTCATCAAGCAGCAGGTCCTCAAGGTGGGTGAGGGGCGCCGGCTGGGGCCCGCACGGGGTCGGGGCTGGAGGGCGAAGGGCGCGGAGGAGCGCGCGCAGTCAGAGGGCGGGCGAGCCAGAGCCGGGATCGGCGCCCTGGGTCTGGGCCCCGGAGCAACGGGGAGCCCGGAGCGCATCGCGAGGGGCCACTGGCTGCCGCCGTAGTACCCTCCCCCACCCAGGCCGAGGCTGGGGGGCGCAGGGGCATCTGGGGGCTCTCCTGGAGGCGCGGGTCCAGGGTTGGGGAGGCCTGAATGAGAAACCTCACCCTAAGCAGTCTGGCGCCCAGGCCAGGCTGGAGTGTGAGCACATTGTGGTGCTACTTTCTCGTCTCTTGACTACAGCAGCCTGAGGCCCTGTCTGCTAAAATTAGGGCTGCACTTTGCCTGTTTCCTGTGAACCCAGGACGACAGGAACCTTCCATTCATGTGCTTCTGTGAGACTCACATGGATCCCCGGGCCTGGATAGTAGTCCAGAGCACTCTGCTGTCCAGAAGCTCCCCCTTAGAAAGCCCTTCTCAGAGGCCCAGGGCTCCGTCCTCCCCCAACACTGCCTTCCTGATGCCCACTGGAAATGGTAAGCGGCTTTCCCCTTAGATTCCCACAGAGGCAGGAGCCCAAGGCTGCATTAGCAGAGGGCTTTCCTCTGATCTTAACTTTCCGCACCATTGCCCTTTCAACCGTGGAGACACATTAGCTGGCCTCAGACCATCAGACTCTGCCCTGGGCGTCTGGACAGCCTGTTTAAGTGAGCTGGTGTTGGGAAAGGCCAGGGTCACAGCATTTCAGAGCCTTGACACCAGAGAGAGCACTGGCAGTGTGGGGAGGGGAAACTGAGGCACACCTTGCCCAGACACTGAGCAAGCCTCGATAAAGATGTGGGTAATGTCACTTGCTCGTTGACTTCTCTTTTCCCCTTAGCCTGCTCCTTTAGTGGGTTTCTTAAGAATGGGACTTGTCCACGTCTCACATCTGTGCCCCCTGCCCAGTACGGGATGCCTGGGGATGAATGGATCACGGGATGAATGTGGTCTACAGTCTGCTCACACCTGAGCCGCCCCTCTCTGGGACCCGGCCGTTGTTAACCATGAGGCGAGGACTGGCTTTTCTCAAGGTCTCTGGGAGTCATGTTGGGCACACTGTGTCTTTTTGTTGGTTTGTTTGTTTGCAGATCTTGTCCCAGTAAACCCTGTAGTCTGATTCTGAGGAGGTCCTGGCTGCTGGTGCCCCTGAGCCCTGAGTTCCTCTCGTGTTTTTTTGGCCTCTGGGGGTGGCCAGACAGATGTGTGTGGGGTCACCTCAGTGCGTTCGAACTGCTTTGTTCTTTCTCATGGTGGCCGAGGGGTCACACTGTTCAGAAGAGCCGTGAGAGCTTTATCTCAGGGACAGCCCACGATGTTGTCATCCAGGTGCTGTAAACATGGGAGCCATCAGGACGCTGTGCAAAGAGCCTCTTGCTTTGGGGGTGCGAGAGTGGGTGGGGTTTATAGTTGAAACATCTTGTCAGCCCCATCATTCCTGAGTGAACTCCAGGGTGATTTCTTCTTCTCCTTTTGTCCCCCCTTTTTAGAAGATTTTATTTATTTGAGAGAGAGAGCGCACACAAGCAGGGATGAGGGACAGAGGGAAGGGGAGAAGCAGACTCTCCCGCTGAGCAGGGAGCCCGATGCAGGGCTCGATCCCAGGACCTTTGGATCATGACCTGAGCCAAAGGCAGACGCTTAACTGACTGAGCCACCCAGACGTCCCCCAGAGTGGTTCTTTCTAGGGATGTCAGTCAGTTCTGTGCACACTGGTTCACACGCAGGTACCCCCTAATTCCCCACTCTAACTCTGGGTTTCCAGAGTGGAGACCGCCATCATCCTCAGCTGTCCTGGACCGAGAATTTCCAGGCTTAAAGTGGAGCGAGAGCCGCCCTGCATCCTCCGTGAATCTCCCAAAGATGATTGGTTTGGGTCTGAGTGGCGTGAAGGCGGGAAGGCAAGCCCAGCCCACGACAGCCACTTCTTGGGCGGCCCAGGCTGAGTCCCAGCCAAGTCCCTTCCCGTGGAAGAAGGATGTCTGTGTTCAGGGGACCGAGTGGGTGGGACGTGAAGGGAGAGGGAGGGACTGCCCGCCGGTGTTTTCTTTGGCTGCACGTGTCCACGGCAGCGTGAATGGGAGGCCTTGTGCTTCGCTATTTTCTTATGCTTTTTGGTTAACTAAAGAAGTCCGCCTATAAGACATGAATTCTTGCTTGGAAAAAAATAAAAAATTCAAATGGTGGGGAAAAGAGATCCTTCCATTTTATTCCCATCCTCAGATAATAATCACCACCATTGTTGGCAGGTGTGTATCTTTCTAGACCTTTATCGGTGCCTACGTCATAAGTATGTATTTACGCACATCACGACATATTTTTTCCATACATGGAACTATACTACATGTATATATATATGTATATATGTAAAATGTATATATATCTGCAGTTTGCTTTTCAATTCGCGGATATCTCTTGAAAATGTCTCCAGGTCACAACAAATAAATCGATCATTCCCCCCCCCCCCTTTCTGCATGGTATTCCTTTAAATCGCTCTCCCCTTATTTCCTGGTTTCTCTACTGACTGGTGTGGTGATTTTCTCTGTCTCAAGCAACTGACCCATGAGTGTCCTGGTTTATACCTCTCGGCCTACATGTCACGAATACTCGCACAGGGCAGATTTTCAGAACAGAAACCTGTAGACCACGAAGCTGTTTCGTTTGAATTTTGACGGTTACCGCCAAATCGCCTTTCTGGAAAGCTCCAGCATTTATGCACCCGCCAAGAGCGTGAAAGCCCCACTCCCCCTGCATGTCTGCCATCGTTAGACTTCACGATGATCATTTTGTTGTTGTTGTGGATCTGACGGGTTCGATTTACGTTCCTCAGGCTGCTGATGGGGTTGAGTGAGGAGGTGACGCATTCTGAAACCCTAGTCAGTTTCCGGAGCCCGGGGCTGCCGAGTTGGCTGGGCCCTTTGCGAGCTGGGGACATCATGCCACTCACTTCACCTCTGAGGCACGGTTTCTTTCTTCAGCTCTGAGATGGGTCAGGTGTAGTTTGCCTGCCAGCGAGATTATAAACTACAAAGGCAGTTACGTATGTGTGCAAATACCTTGGACATGTCTCGTGTTTCTTGTTTGACTCTGACCACAGCCTTGAGAAGTAGGTTGAGGTGGTGCTTTGGTTCCCTCCTACAGGTAAGGAAACTGAGGCATAGCAGAGGTCTGGGGCTTGCTGGCGTCTGTATGGCTCGTGGCAGTGGAGGGCCAGAGCCACAGTCCCGAGTTGGGGTCTACATATCAGCCAGGGCCTAGGAAATAAGGTGGGAGTGGGAGCCGGAGCCCTTCATCCGATAGATTTCTAGGCAAGAGTTAGAAAGAAGGGACTCAATGTGTATGCTTTAGCACAGAGAGTTGGCAAAATAGAGAAGTCATTGAGAAAAAGCTCAGGTCACAAGACAATAACCTGTATTTCCAGTGTGGGACAGTGCACATAAAATCAGAAAAGGGGTGGACTGACAGTGCTCACTCTCGGGGCAAAGGGGGAGGCTCGGGCTGTGGCCGAGGGAAACATATTTTATCTGTAATTCTTTTTTCAGTTTTATTTATTTAGATTTAATTTGTTTAAATTTATAGTAATTTACTTATTTGAGAGAGAGAGAGTGTGAGCAGGGGGAGTAGCAGGCAGAGGGAGAGGGAGAAGCAGACTCCCTGCTGAGCAAGGAGCCCGCTGCGGGACTCAAACCTTCCATCCCAGGACCCGGGGATCGTGACCTGAGCTAAAGGCAGACGCTTAACCACCGACTGAGCCACCCAGGCGCCCCTGCCTTTTTTTTTTTTTTTTTTTTAAACAAGGAGAATATTCATGTGTTACATGTTTAATTAAAAATTAGTAACGAGGGTCTCCTGGGTATCTCAGTTGGTTAAGCAGCTGCCTTCGGCTCAGGTCATGATCCCAGCTTCCTGGGATCGAGTCCCGCATCGGGCTCCTTGCTCGGCAGGGAGCCTGCTTCTCCCTCTGCCTCTGCCTGCCATTCTGTCTGCCTGCGCTCGCTCTCTCTTCCTCTCTCTCTGACAAAAAAAAAAAAAAAAAATCTTTAAAAATTAGTAACGAATCCAAGATTTCCCCAGGGAGTGGCCGAACGTGCCTCCCACGGTGGGCGGCACACTTGCTTAGTCCTGGGACAGTTCTGGGACACTTCTCATTATCGTCCTCGACAGATAGGGAAACGAAGCTTTGGAGAGTAATTTGCCCCAGGTAACCTTCCTGGTGTGTGTGTGTGTGTGTGTGTGTGTGTGCGCGTGTGTGTGTGTGTGTGTGTGTGTGTGTGTGTGTGTGCGCGTGCGCGCGCGCCTAAGTAAATATCCTGGAGGAAAACGCCAGGAGAATGAGGACTCTTATCTCCATCGCCTAGGACTGAGCCCGGCATGCATGGCCCTCCCTGTTCGAATGGATGAGGAATGCTCCCTCCAGGTCCCTGGCAGTATGTTTCCAAATTTCCAGGTGTCTCTGGTCGGACAGGGAAGGCCCGGCAGTAGGAGGAGCCCCTTGCTGCTGCTGGGCCGCAGGGGAAAGTGCTTGTCTGCTGGGCCACTATGAGTCCATGGGCCTCCAAGCCTCCTCCACATCCAGGAGGGGAGCTGGGTCCCCTCTGCCGTCTCTAAGTTGGTTTTCTGATTGAAATCAGCCTCGAGGGCTTTATCCACTCATTTTTTCAGCTGCCGAAGGCTTCCCCAGCTTGTGTTTCCATCTCAATAAGTGACACCTCCATTTGCTCCCACAAGTGTAGAGGTGAAGAGCTTGGGTCATCCTTCATATGGTCTATCAGCAGATCCTATTGGCTTTATCTTCAAAGTGTATCTGGATTTCAACCCCTCTTCTCAGCATCACCATGGCGGCCTTCTCCATCCACTGCTTGGACTGGTGCAGTAGTCTCATCTCTGGTCTTCATAGGCAGCCAG